ATATCATGCGGCGCGCGCGCTCTATTTTCGCGGAACAAATACCCTTCTCTTTTCGTATCGGCCACTCGGAGCCACCCTGACTCGCGCCCGCCGCTTTCGTTCGCTCTCGTTACTTCAATTAGCGAGGAATCGGGATCACCCTTTGCCGCGGAACTTTAACGCGCGCCACCAGCAGTTTTTGCGCGGTCGCAACCCTCGCGCGATTTCTTATCCGACGCATTCTACTTCAGACGCGATGTTTAACCATTGAAACTGGAACGTCCGTCGGTTTGCCGAATGAATCTTTTTCTTCTCCTTTTTTTTTTCGTTTCCACGTGGCCGTGAGATTTCTCGGTTATCGCAGGGTAAACAATTTTGTGTTACACAGTAAAAAGTTTTATGTTAGATTTAACGGTAAAACACTTTGTGCTGCATTTAACATTTCATATGTCCCAAACTGTGTACTCAAATTTTCGTCTTCATTTAATACGAGGAATATGAATATGTTTAAAAGTAACACAGATATTATGCGAAAAATTAACACCTGTTAATCGACACTGAAAAGTATAAAATGTGTTATTTTTTAAAACGTACAAGTTGTTTTTAACACACAATTTTTACCACGCTTTTACGGTTTTACCTTCAAGATTTGTCTCTCGGAACCATCCTCAGCAGCGCTGCGATTTTCCCGTTTAGGGACACGCGCGGCTGACACGTGTTTTATATAGGACGGACCCTTTTTATTATTGAAGACATTGAATTCGACCTCGTAAAATCCGTATAACGCGCCTCAAAATTCAAAATGACAGGGCCTTTTGATGTAAGTGGCTCGAGTGTCCGCTTGCCCGCACGTGACTTCCCTTCGTCCGGAGGTAGCCGAAATATTCAACGACGGCTGAATATTTATGAAATCCGACGCGCGGATGAGGAGAGAGAGAGAGAGAGAGAGAGAGAGAGAGAGAGAGAAGGAAAAAATTCGACCGAAAGCGTCCGGCACGTATTAATTACTATCGATGAAAAACAGAGGCGTCCGGTAACACGAGCATTTGGCACGGCTTGGCGTCCCGCCGTTATTTGCTAACTGGTAAAAACCGCGCGCCGGTCGGAGAGCGCGCGCGCGCGTTGCAACACAGTGTTGTTGCATAAATCGCGATTAACCTTCGCGCCGCATGCGGCAATCCGTTGCAAGCGCAAGACATCCCCGCTGCTCCTGTTTTACGAGCGCGACGCGACTCGATGCGACGTAAACGCCGGTTGATTCGTCCCGGGGATCGAAGCCGCGGTCTAATAATCGCGATCACAGCTCTCTCGGATTGCTGATCTCGCACGAGGGCAAACAAAATATATCACGATGCATTTTGTAAAATATAGGATTGAAGGGAAGGTGATTCTCTCATTAGCGGACGCTTCTCTTTGTGGGGATTTACCGAGAAAAATATAACGTAATAAATAAAAAAAAAATATATATATATATACACAATACACATATATGTATACGACGAACGAACAGTGTGATTTTAGTAGCGTCGCACAAATTCCGCTGATTAAATTAAACAGCCGCGACGTGTGACAAGTTGGTTTAATAATATCGCCGTGATGATCCCGAAACGTCGCTATTTTAATAATAATTAACTTAAGCCAGTCTAATCGTCGAAGAATTACACCTGTTGCAACAATCTCCATGATCGCAATTGAATCCTTTCCATTAGGTGTATTGCTCCATTTCGCGGCGTCCTTGCAAAACAGACACACACACCGATCGGACTAGCCGGCCGGTTCATTTTCGAGAGTAGTATTGATCCCGCCATCACAGAGAACAAACTAGATCAATTATTCTTGTCCTGTTCTCAATAATTCAGCGACGTTAGGCTGAGACACGAATAAGCACGAACAATAATTCCGACGGAGCCGAGAAATAACTCTTCCAGATGTTTAATTATGATATATTTCTCGAGCATATATAATTTTAATGATATATATATAATATCAACTAAAATAAAACAAGAATTTTTCCCAATCTGTAACATCCGAAAATAACAATATTTTAATAAATTACACAGTAAAATATCTTGTGTTTAAATGTTATCCGATTATTTACTGGTAAAAGTTGTCATTTTAAAACTTAGGCAATACAAAATACATGAATAGCTAAAGCGTAGCAGTAATGCAGTACGTAAATTGACTCAAGACCTCAAATTTCCGAATTCGAGTTGTAAACACATTTTTCAAGTACGATATTATTTAAATCAATTAAATGGCACATATTTGAGAAGATTTTAGACACAATCATTGACAACATCTTTATTTTAATAAATTGGGTGTGTCTAAGAAAGGAAAACAAATCGACAATTTCGATTGCCGACAAAACTCGAGCTGCCGAATGCAAAGCAACAAGTGACAAGTCGCGAAAAACCGCCGATGTAACGACGTTTGATTTTTCATTCGAAAGATATTTTTGAAGCGTGGAAGGAAGAGAGAAAGACGAGCTCGAGTTACGTCTTGTTATTCTCGATCTCCACGATCTCGTATATTCTTGCATATTAATTATTTCTTGCGAACCTCTATCCCGCTGGCGCCGCTTCGTCAGCCGCCGGCCATTTCTGGCCGGCGAAAAAGGGGAGGGAAGAGAGTCGTAAAACCAGGATGAGGGAACGTTATGGAAGTGACCGATAAAATTGGCAGGCGCTATTCCGCTCTCCGTATTATTCGATTCTGCAGATACGTGAAAGCGAATCTCAGCGCGAACTTTTTCTTTCCTCGAGTCGCGCGACAAATCGCGAAACTTTATCTGTTATCGTATATTATGCGCGGCTTGCTCTCGACCGACGTCGACGAGACTTTGCACTCCTTGTTTCGATTAACTTCGATTAGATTTTGCTCAGTCGAGATTTGGAAACGCCAATACTTTTCGATCTTTTGGCTTTTAACGAAACAAATGCGTTTCGGTTGAAGGAAACAGAATTTCTGCTTATAAGAACCGAATTTTGATCATAAGAACTAGGAATTCTATTTCAACCAAAACGTTTAAGTTCGTTCATTGTCTGGTGAATTCAACAAACTTTTTTTCCGTGTATGTTTCTGCTACAGGATGCGTAACAGCGATTTACAATGAATCTTTTATTGGCTAAAATCGGTGAAGTGTTAGACAAAAGAGCTAAGAGAGAGAGTTTCTACAAAAAAAAAAATTAGTGAATACTCACTGATTACCGGTAGATTACTGTTTCACTGATTTAATTAGTAATATTTTCCCTGATTCAACTTAAGAGAGTAACTGACGATAATGGCAGGAGTTTGTATTCGCTCTACATTCATTCAGCAAAAGTCATTTTCACACATGTTGTCAAATAAATTCCTGGCGAAGAGATTTGCTCTCTGCTCGAACGTTGTAACGTTATTCGTATGTATGTGTGCGTTGTGAAAAAAATAGAACACATATCGACGTTCTCGAAAAGATCTCGAGTGCTCTTTACGGATTTTCGAGGGACATCCCAATTTCAGCTACGATCGATCGGGAATAGACTGCTCCCCACGTTGTGCAAATTCAGCAGCAAGCTTTTTTTAGAGAACGGCATGAGTGAATCTAAGATGTTCGATTCAGTCGCGTCGCCGTTCTCGGTAGGATTAGAAAATCATCTCTTTTGAGCAAGCGGTTGCATCGGAAATGATTTAAAATCGCTCTTCGTATCTGAATCCTTATTTTCCTCGAATTCTCCGGACGGGGCGCATCATGCGAAATATTTTAATCGGGGAATCAGAACGTGTTACCCCTGCGGCGCCAATTTTTCGAACATCGATCAGCTCGCGGCCAAAGTGTCCCGTTTGAGATATTCGAAACGAAGCGCTCGAAACGAAATATTAATAACACACATAAAATGTTAACTAACTTTAAGCGGCAATTCGATTGATCTGACAATAAAGTGCTCGTTACGTTAAAATTAGAACGCACGTAATGCACATATACGCACGGGGGGAGCGTTTATCACAAAGATAATAATGTACCCGTCGAGCTTTCGTGTCCTTCGATCTGATTTTACGATGGCGCAGCAATTTCGTCATCGGCGTTATTGCGTGCATCGCGTAGTCGGCGCATTACGCGCGGGAGATCCTTGCCGTGAATTATTGCATTATCGTGTACCTTGATTGCACTTGCTCGCTCTATCTGCAGCGCCGAGAGGAGCTTGTCTGTCTGTCGCAAAAGTCTCGGCTAATGCACTTAATTGAAGCCGCGTTATGCAGCCTCCGTTCGCCATTAACGAGCTCTTTCATGACGACGCGATCTCTCTGAGCCATCGGCCAGCCAAGCGAGTAGCCACACGGCGCGTGAATAATTCCGCCCCGAAATTTTCCGTACACTCGGGACGCACTCTCGTCCACGAGAGTGGAAACTTTGACGGCGGATCTCGAAAGTCTCTTTCCGATTAACGTTGCCCGACTGCTGATTAACGCGCTTGCATATTCAGCAGTTAAGCTCGAGCGAGCAGGTCCCGAGACGGTGGTCACGTGGCCGATTTTTCGCGGGAAACACGCAGCCTGAATATAATCTTCTCGGATTGGAGGGTTCTCGATAAAACGGTCGAATTAACAGCGGTCACCGTTTTTTCGATTACGCTCGCTCTACGTTAAATCGGACTTGAATATCGGCGCAACCGCAAATGAACGACACGTTCGCCTAATGACACAGTTCATCCATTAATAGCCGATAATCGAGCCGTTAATAAGTGGTACCGTTAATTTAGTCGAGGCATTAATAAGACCGACGGACTGCGGTGTGCCCATCCACTTCGGGGGCTTTCCTTCGATCCGCACTATACCTATCCCTACAATAAGACATTGTCGAACCAAACGTTTCTAGTCAGATAATAAAAATTTTTTTACCGTTTCTGCGATTAGATCTCTCCGATGGAAACAATTGTTGCAGACTCTTGCAGCCTATAGCTATGATCATTAGTGATGATACACTGATTTGACACGAGTATATAAGCCCGATCGAACTAACACCTTTCATCTCCTGTCGGTTGCAGGTTGGCAGCGCAAGAGGCGGCACAAAGGGACCCTGGATACGCGAGTCAGTACAGGAGAAGGCCGAAGTTGGCCGGACTGAGTGGTCTCGGTGACTGGACTAGCTTCGGAGGGGAGGTGAGAGCAATTATTGTCGTTACGTCCGCGATACTTCCGATCTCCCCCGGTAGCAGCTTTCTCCTTCCCCGATATTTAGCCGAGTTACGTTCGAGATTTTAGTTGAGCTTCAATTATCTGACTATTGCTCGATCGGAACGGCCGATCAAATCCAACGGTGTGTCTCGGCTCCCTTAATAGCTCCATTTTTCTCGTCGTATCGCTTAGGAGGATCTAACAGCAGCACGGCGCTCGATTCCGTTTGGAAAGAAAAGTAAAGCGACGTGTCGTTTTTAGGTACCTGGTGTGGTGGACATGGCAATAGGCCGAGATCAGGGCGGAGGAGCGGGTGGCGGGGCTGGCAAGGGCACCACGTCGTTGTTTATCCTGTCGGAGGATAACCGCATACGGAAGGCCACCCGCTTCATCATCGAGTGGCCGCCCTTCGAGTACGCCGTCCTGCTCACCATCATCGCCAATTGCGTGGTCCTCGCCCTCGAAGAGCATCTGCCGAAGCAAGACAAGACTATACTCGCACAGAAGCTCGAGGCCACGGAGGTCTACTTCCTCGGGATCTTCTGCGTCGAGGCGAGCCTCAAGATCCTCGCCCTCGGCTTCATCCTCCACCGCGGCTCCTATCTACGCAACATCTGGAACATCATGGACTTCTTCGTCGTGGTGACCGGGTGAGGACGAAACGCTTCTTCTTCTTTCCCCCCCTTTTTTTTTCTTTGTCTCGTCAGCCGTGAGTTTTCCACTCTGCGTCCTCCCTCTCTCCCTCCCTCCTTTCCTCCCTCCCTCTCGTTTTTCTATCGGTACGATGTTAGTCACACTCGCGCGCCTTTGAAGAAAGAGAGCGGTTGATTTAATCATTTGCCGATTATTAATTGTCCTGTAAGCGAAATCGCGTGTCATCCCCTCACCGTCTTTACACGAAAAGTTCTCCTCACTCGCGTATATCATCGTATAAACAATCTTGCCCGCACTGTTCACACTTTTTATTCATGCGTATGAGTAGGGTAGATCGTTAACGTTGATCACTGAGGAGAGAAAGAGGAAATGTGTGAACGACGAATAATTGCCGCGTCATAGTATACGTTAATTAATTCGCGGCTAGAGCGACGAAACGATTCCTTTCCTGCTTACACCTTTGCGAGGAAACAAATTGCCGGAGAAATTAGTTCCGCCTGGCGGAACGTTCGATCGTCGTAGACACGATTGAGCCGACAGATAAACTTTTCCCTTTTTATTAATTTATATATATTCGCGTCGAGCCATATGAACAATCTTTTCAATTGATGTATAGTTGGCGAATCTCGATGAATGTATATACACATTATTTGTAGAAGATTCTGACTGCGAGATTTGAACTGGTTTCTCCGGCCGTAGGATTTAAGGAAACACACCGACTATCATGCCGGTTGGTCAGATAGATTCTAGAGTAATCCTTGGATTAGGTCGATGACCGTGTTCGCCGAAACAAACGTGGACGTCGACCTGCGTATGCTACGTTCCTTCAGGGTCCTCAGACCGCTAAAGCTGGTTTCGAAAATTCCAAGTGAGTCAGTCAGAGTTCTGCGAAAGAAAAGCAGCGACTAACAAGCACCCCGATATCAAAAGCCAGTAACAGTCGAGCTAACAGTCGAGCAGCAAACGACTGTAACCCCTCCGAGATTCCTTTCTCTCGAACCGCCACCTTTGTTCTCCACGTTGTGTCTCCTGGCAATTTGTGTGCGTTCTCATAGTTACGAACATAGTTTTAATGTCTCGTCGCCGAAACTTAGCTCGACCTTTCAGTTTCGGCCGGTTTCTCCACGCTTTAGTTATACCTGGTGCGACGTCTAGTTCTGGCAAGCGAGAGAAGCATCGACTTGAACTTTTGTCTATACAAGACACACTAACATAATACATACACATAAATACACCCACGCTAACACGTACACATTTATATATTATTAGCTCCCGTCCTCTAGTCTCCTGCGTTAGTCTTCTAACTGCGTATAATCACGTCGTACGTTTTTACTAACCTTCGCTTAGAGGCTATGGGTGTCTTAGATCTGTTGACAACGCTAGATAAAGAGTTGGTGATGGGTAAAGCTAGTTGAGTTGCTGGTCGATATATTTGTTGAATAATAATTTATATATTTATACACACACATATATATGAACTCTCTTTCTCTGTGTCTACATTATTCTGAGTATTTCTCGTCTAGATTTACTAATTACTTCATAGAAGACTTGCGTGAAATAGAGCGATTAGAATTAGGATCAGTTGGAAATCTACGATCGCTCTTACCTTACGCACACGTGATCGAAGTCTCAGGAGACTGTAGCGTGCACCATTTACATTTTTGAGTAACAGTTCTGTCCCGGGGAACGCTAAATTTTCGCGATATTAGAAACTTCATAGTGTGAAATGTTTTTCGTTCGTGCATTTTTCCGATAATGCGCACGCCGCATGAGAAAATTTTGCATTGCTGAAAATACGACATCAATTACTATCTCATAGTTGTTGTCCTCTTTCGTCTATCGACGTAGAACGGACGCGAAACAACATTTCAGCGATTTTATTTCCAATTCTGAATGACTCGTTATGTATGCGTAAGGAGAGGAGCGCATAGCGAGCGGTTTGAGCGCCGGACAATCTCACAGACGCTGAAACTTAATCGCTACTCTTACTTAATCGTCAGGACGTAATTTAGACCGCGGTTGAGAAACTTCTTTTCGTCGTAATAGTTATACTTCAAGAGAGAGAGAGAGAGAGAGAGAGAGAGAGAAAAAGGAAGAGAAATGGCGTTTCCTACGGAAGAGTGATAACGGTTCGGACAAGTAGTCCCTTAAGATGCGCACTCATGAGCGGGCAGACAGGAAAGGAAAAACACACACACGCACACAGAGGATGTGACCCGCCGCCTATATTTAGCGGTTAGCTATCTTTAGCCGCACTCGCTAAATAATAGAGCCGGCTATACATTGTTAAACGGATACGTGTCCTAGAGCAGTGCAACGTGTTCCCGGCGAACGCTCGCCACTTTGCTTGGAGAGAGAAGGCCGTTTCACACCTTTAGACGGACAGGGAGTTCACGACAGGCCGAATCGTTGCTTCGTCCGAAGGCCCCTTCTCCCACTTTCCCGTAATTCTCGAGGATGATCATCTCCTGAAGTGCCTGCCGTTAATTAGGAACTCGCTTTCCGCTTCCACCAGATTCTTCGCTAGCTAGCTAGCGTCCAGTTTTTCCGCCCGCCTCTACTAGTCCACCGTCATTAGCGTCTTTAATAACGAAGGATTCCTATTACCATTACCACGGCGGAAGATTCAATTACCGCCTTTAGGAAGTCGCGATTAAGAGCCTAGGGTATAGAACGTAGCGCTGTTACACGGACGGAGTGTCCCCTATTTTATTTCGTACAATGTATAGCGCTTAAAGAAGCTCTCGTTCCCGATGAGGGGTTCGTTAGAGTCATGGTAACGCCATTCTTCGGCCTCTCTCGCTGCGGAATTAGTCCGCGGAGGGAAGGCTGCTGAATCACTCCCAGCTTAATCGTTGTCCCGGCGATGAAGCTGTTGTGCAACATCTGATCTCGGTTGTTTTCTTGTAAGAGCGAAAAATAGCTTTCCAGCTTCCCCGCGCCGGATAAAGAAAGAGATAGTTTCAAGAATATGTTCGTGATTGACATATTGGAATAGAAACTTTTCGCGCGCGTTTACGTCGGGATACGTCGGTGCGGTTTGAGGGAATCCAAAGTCTCGGGCTTTCGAATTCACTCTGTGTATTGACTGGACCGGAGAAAAAAATCTCTCCGCGTTATCTTTCTCGAATGAAAAGTGATCCCTTTTTGAAAGATCAGCGGTGATCAGTCGGATATAGACGAGAGAGGCGGTCGACGACCGCGGCGAATTGATATCCTTGAGAAACTAGAGCCGCGCGTCATCGTGATTATAGCCGCTATCGCTAGCCCGTCCTTGCGTTACATTCTCCTAGATCTAGATATATACTGTATTTTATTACATTTATCGATAGTCTAGAGAGAGTATACATAGATACACATCGGCCCTTCCAGCACCCCTTTTTAGTAGATCATTTACTTTACCTCGTCGGGCCGATCTTTCCGTGTCGATTTTCGAGCGTCGTCACGTCGAAGAATTAATAAATCGGGAAACGATGCATTTCTCTTGCCGTGCCCTCAAAATACGCGATCTAAATAACGAGACAGTGTTGTCGATCGATCAATATACTTGTTTATTAATTATTATATATTATTAATTATTAGTCGTGACATCCGCGTGTCATTGAGTTTCACGGGGTACGTGGAAATATAATTTTACAAACGAAATTAATAGAACAATCAACTTTTGCTTACAGCCAAATTTATCATTACTTACATAGTCCTTTTAAATACATACCTGAAATAATATCCTAATTGTATCATATGTCGATCCCAGTTTGAATTCTTCATTAGACGAGACAACATTGATGAATGAACATATTAACAGATTAAAAGTCCATTCTCTGTTGAAAGAATCGACTTGTATAAGAATTGGACAGAAAAGAATCGATTAAAAATAGATTTTTAGAAGAAATAGATCGATTTTGTGAAAATTGAATCGAGAGATCGCCAGCACAAGTAGTCGGAGAAGTATATAAATTGGCTGCATTCAGCGAAAAAAGCAACTCATTGAGCGTTCAGTGATTATTGTCTATGATTGGAGCATTCTCTTAGATTCTTGATAAATTCGGAAATATGTTATTAGGAGCGATAATCATTTAGCGCTCTCTGATGAGCTGTCCTTTCCGCCGAATCTAGCCATTGTTTCTTGTCGCAAGAATCGCTCGCGGTGAGCAATTTGAATTCGCCAGAATCTGGCCCGACCACGTTCGGGGATTCCATCCGATCGTCCCGATAGCGTTATCTCCCACGAACCGTCCGGGTTAGGCTAGAGAACGCTAGTTACCATCTAGTGGCGTAGTCTAAGTATTTAAGTAGTGAGTATTAGTGTAATAGAGTAGTAAGTAGTAAAGTGTGGCGGGGTGTGTGTGTTTTGGGGCAGGATCGTCACGGCGTTCTCGCAAGGCATACAGCTGGATGTGGATCTGCGCACGTTGCGTGCGATACGCGTGTTGCGACCGCTCAAACTTGTCTCCGGCATACCGAGTGAGTAGCGCATCAGTAACCGACACAGACTGCCGAAGCGATCTCGCGTTTAGAACTCGAGCGAACGCTTGGCTTTCTCGAGAAACAGAAAGAAAGAGAGAGAGAGAGAGAGAGAAAGAGAGAGAGAAAGTCTGAAAAAGCTTCCGCGTTAAACTGTCGTTAAACGACGCCCGTTAACGGGGGTGTCGGTGCTCAGACGCTCGTCGGGCGGAAGTCCCGGCGTTGTCGCGAAGTCCTGCGAATTGTCTCTCCGCGAATAATTCCGCCCGCATTCATACCTTCGAACGCATCTCCAGCGCTAAAAATGCCTTCAGTGTTGCCCTCTTAACGATGTGTATCGTTTTCTCTGTGTACCTTGCGTGTCGCGACGCGATCTCTGTCTCGTTGAATGAGCGAGCCGAACGGTCGACTGGGGTTGTTTTTGGGGGTTGGCTGACGCGGTTAAGTGTGATGGTGCTGGACAGAGGTGCGAGTATGGGCCGAAGGTGCGCGTGGCTTGATTGTACATTTAGCGCTGAATGTCGTTCTCTCTGGTTTTGTACCCTCCGCCTTTTACGTTCTTGAGTAGCGTCAGTTTCAGAGGTACTTGAAAGAACGTGCAAGAGGAGAAATCGATATCGGACGGTCGCGTTTGGCGTTAGACGTACGGCAAAAATGCGGGCGATCTTGTTGCTCGAGGACGAGAAAGAGCGAAAGAAAGAGAGAGAAAGAGAGAGCTTGGCTCGAAACCAATTCCCCGTGTCTGGGATTCGGGCACCTCGAAGATCCAGCGCGATCCGCCGTCGAGGATATTTACTATTTCTTGAATATAGTGGCTAGATATAGATTTAAACGAGCGAGTGAATTAACGAGTCCATCTCGGAAGTCAAGAGTCAGTAGATTTCAGAGTAGTAACGTTTAATTGCAAGNTATATATATATATATATATATATATCTTTCTCTCTCTCTATCTATATATTTATCTATCTCTATTACACCCGTAGATGCCTTGCCGATTTTAGATCGATCGTTTGTTTTATGTTGCTAGTATCGCCTAAATAGGTATCATTGAGAGCTGGATGTGTTGTGTTTAGATGCGGCGGAGGTGTCCTAATTCTTCGACGCGGAGTCATTTCGAGAAAGATTTAATGTCGCGTAAATTTTGTGCAACATATCGAATGTACTCCTTGAGAGAGTTTGCTTGTAGGTAACTTTCAGTCGGATGATTGTAAAGAGAAAAAGTCTGGCTTTTCCGATCGGGAATGTCGCGTGATTGATCAATTTTGCGACGTACTTGGATTCCTTGCTTCCTGATTGTTTTGAAAAAATTGTGAATGTAACAACGTCGATGATGCATTGTAAAGATTCACGCGCGACTCCTCGAGCAACGGACGTTGGCCATGCACGAATAGAGAGAGGCAGCAGCCGTTCCGTTGAACGTAGAATTCCGCATTGATCCCGTGGGGACGGTGGTTGAACCTAATTACTCCTCGGCAATTTTTTGCGCACAGGTCTTCAGGTGGTGCTCAAGTCTATCATCAAGGCAATGGCGCCGCTCCTGCAGATCGGTCTGCTGGTACTCTTCGCCATCGTGATATTCGCTATCATCGGCCTCGAGTTTTATTCGGGTACACTGCATAAAACGTGCTACAGTATAATGGACATCAGTGAGTATACTTGACAATTTGGATCATTATTCAACAATTTTCACCGCAATATTAGCTCTTGTATCGTGTACCGCACTATTTTAGCTACTAGTTTTCATATATCATATGTATCGTATTGTATAGATACCAGTTCTCTCTCGTGATATTATTATTATATAAGGTGTATTTTAATCATATGAGAAACGTGTTTAGAGCACGATTTGAGTAGTTTTGAAAGAGGAATACCGTAGAGGGAATATTTTTTTTTTACGGTCATTTTTTTCGACACTCTGTATATATGTGCCATATATAAATATATATTCACATATATCTTTTTTACTCGCTATATAAACGATTCTAAGAGAGCTCGGGAATATGGTAGATATTTCACACTTATTAGATCAATCAAAAAGTTCACATAAAAGTAGATATTTCACTTTTATTAGATCACTCACATAAAGTTCGGTTCGATTTTCAATAAACAGCGTCACGTAGCAACATGTTGAAGCAACAAATATTTTGGTGCCAGAACGTTGAGGAAGGGTCATAGATAACGAGGGCGTTTGCTCGGTTCATGAATAATTTTTCTCTTGAAAGCAACAAGATCAAATCCGTCTCAGAGATCGAACCGAATTTGCTGATAGGCAGAGGGAGTGATAGAGAATTATAATTAGTTTAGGCGCCAAACATACTTTATAGTAGTAGCAACATGCATATTAGGTTATTATTACTGGTACTGTAATAACACTTACCAGAGAAATGCTTCTCCCGACTGTTTTTGTGGCTAGAAGATATGTTTGACGCCGAAACTAACAATAATTTTCTATCAGATTAGTTGTTCGCGGAAAACTATACCATTCGACTTTCGAGAGTTCCAAACGGCCGAGGACGTCGCGTTAGGAGTCTCTCACGATGTTGACATTGCAGATAAAATCGTAAAGGAGGGCGAGCAGCCGAGCCCGTGCAACACGGATAACAAGACAGAGGCCCCGCTAGGGGCCCACGTGTGCGACGCGAACGTCTCGACGTGCATGGAACACTGGGAGGGACCAAACTCGGGCATCACCAGCTTCGATAACATCGGATTCGCCATGCTCACTGTCTTCCAGTGTATCACTATGGAGGGCTGGACTGCCATATTGTACTGGGTAAAGCAAGAAATATGTTCTTCAGTGTTGAAACTTCTTTTTATTCTTTCTTGCTGTATTCCACCTTACTATCTTTCTCGCTCATTCTCTCTTCTCTGTCTTTTCTCTGCTGCAATTTCGACCTCTCTCGTTGTCGCGAGCACGTTCTGCGCCTACGACGGCGCAAGAAGCCAAAGCTTCCCTCTTGTTATCATATACGAAGGATCGATAGTCAAAATTCTCCCGTAGCACCATTGAGCCGCGGGCTCTTCATCGGCCGCCAGCGCTTTTTTCGCGCTTTTGTATCGTATTTTTATATATTTCATTGCTCCCCGCCCCTATCTGTTGTGTATCTTGAGAAACTCGGAAAGTAGAGAATTATCGAAAAATCGTTAGTCAAAATTCTTGAAATTAGATTTTATTCAAATTTTGTGTGTTAATTTCTTTTTTCCGGGATTATATATATGTATATTGTTTGACGGATGTGTCGAGAACATTCTCGCACAAGACGAGGTGAGAAGTTGCGCAAATTGAATCGAATTTGACAAAAACTACACGAGAGCTGTCTAGCGTAGAAGATGGACAATCGGCGCGAATACGTTTGTAATAATTGTCACTGACGTGTCGTAAAATATGATGATAAATCGATTCCTCTTCCTCCGAACTTTCCTCATCAATTTAGCCGTCTCGGAAGATAGTATCGTTTCATCTCACTCGATACTCGAGGACTCCCTTCTACTCTTACTGCTTGTATCGCGCGAGTCCGTACATATATATACATGTACATATATATATATATATATATATATATATATAT